AAAAGAATTTATATGAGAGAAGGAAAGAAAGAAAAGAAAAGTATGAGATGACACATGCAGTTGTTTATGACCTTAATGACCTTACATATTTAATAGTTTAATTTGAACTAAACACTTTTTTCTCTACTGAGGAATAGATGGGTGAAAAATAATCCATCCGTCCTCAAAGGGTTAATTAAAGAATGCTTCGGTTTGTCTCAAGTTGATATCCTCGTTTACCTTATCTTTTAAGAAAACAAATAATCACGATTGTACTGATATTCTTTTCATGTCCTGTTGAGCTTGCTTTCATCTTTCCTCGTCATCTTATCTTCTCTTTGATCCTTTCTTAAGTGCTTCTTTCACTCTCCTATATAAATATGTATTAAATGTGAAATGGCTTAGTGAACGTCATTCTCAACGTTCATGGTAAGCTACTTATCCAATTTGTTGCTAAGGTAATCGCATTAGATTTTTCCAAAAATCTTTTTAATCCAAATGAAATCATTAGACAATTTGAAAGCTAATAGAAAACTTGGTTTCTTTTTTTTTCTTTCTAAAAATCATGTTGGATTAGCGAGAAAAGAGCTTTTGAATTGGAAAGAAAGCATTGTATTGTAGTGCGAAATGCCGAAATCTATTTTTATTTAGATGCACAGCGTATTCTTATTGACTTAGAATGCGATAATCATAAACAAGGCAACGCTTCAATGCTTTTATGAATAGGTTCACTTGTGGGTTGTTTCTCATAAAAAAATTTCATCCCGATGAGATATGGACACTTATTTAGTAATTTGTTAATGCAAATGTGCATCCAATTTTGATTCACAATTTGCAATGAAATACTTTAAAATCGAACTTGTTAATAAGATTTGAATTTAGTCAGTAGTGAGTTAAAAAATGTACATTATACCAATTATCCTTAGTCTATTCGGTTCGATATCTTACGATGCAAAGTTTCTTTTTATACAAAGATAAAATTGTCAAAATAGGGAATTTCTTTGAATTTATTTCTGCTTGAGAAAAATCAAAATTTCTTCTGCTAACTTATACTGCTGTCGTTAAGATGAAGAGTTGACGACTTCTCTGGTAATTAGCTGTCAGTTTCAATAACACTCGACATATGTCATTTATCTTTTTTTCTTTTCATTGAAAATGTTCAAATATAAATAGTATTTGAAACTTTGATTGTCTACTTTACTTTGCTTCTTGAATCTGATGACGGAAATAAAAAGAAAATCGTTGTTGTCACTCCGTCGCTTTTATGTTCTTATTTATTACGTATCCATTTAGTCGGAGATATCTTTGGGCCAATATTCTTTTTTTTTTCGTTGATTTTTTCAACTGTTTTACTTGAATGATTATCAATGTATGAAAAAGTAGTTGTTTCCTTTCCTTTTTGCAGATGACAAGTGAAGACTGCTCTAATGACAATATGAATAGGTTTACAAGGTAGAAACTCATATCACGCGCTTCTTTCGACAGCCTCCATAACAGAAAAGAATGCTAAAAATCATTTACATTTCATTATTATTTTTGCATTGATTACTTTCGTTCGAGCCGTATAATCTGATGAACCTGCTAACTAATTTTGAGCTATTCTTAGATTGTTTCAATTTGTGTAGCTAAGTAATTTGAAGTACTCGCAGTGCATTAGTCGAGTTAATGCTTTCCATTATCGATATGTCCTTATACTTTTTTAATCCTCTAACTACCATCACGCTGTTTATGTAAGAAATTCCTGTAAATTGTCACATTTGTTTTAGTTTAAAACAAAACAGATTTACTGAAAGGTTCTTATCTTGATTTTTAGTTCTACTAGAAACAACATACCATCTTTTGGTTAGCAACAGGTAGAAGATCCAGTTCGTTGTCATTTATTGTATCATATAACAACTTCTTGCGAGATGATCTGTACTTCTTCTAATTATTTAGAGTTTATTTTGGATAATTTTCATTGTTTGGTTTTATCGAATTCAAAGGTTTGCGATTTCCAATCTAATGAATAGTTTTATTTTTGTTGTACAGCGTTTTCGACTTTATTATGGAGGCTATGGATATTACAAACCTGTTTAATCATAACCTTTTCTAATAAATAATCTCGTAAGATAGAAAAAAAATTTCAATTCTTCCATTTATATAACATGAAGCTTTTATTGAGATGTATTTCATTCAGTTCTAATATTGTCTTGGCTGTTAGTGTGTTTAACAAAATTCAGTATGATTTGTCATCAATTATCCAAAATAAATTTCCCAACATAATTGACATCATTAGTTTAGTGATTCTTATGGACGCATTAAAACACAAAGAACGATAGTGAACAGTTTTAACACTTTACCTCTAGTGTCAAATGCACTTGACTAAAACACAGCACCGGAATCCGGTTTCGATTAATTAATAATTTCTGTCAATTTTCAGTGATGGCGGACAATCAAAGTTCGAACGATACGGAAATCATTTCATCTGCTACCTCTGAAATCCCTATACCACGCATTGTTCGCTTTTGGATTCTCCTTTTAATTGATACTCCATCGGTATTGTGCGCATTCTTCGTTCTCTTCTATATTTTTATCAATGGAAAATCGCGTTCTGCTGTTAAGAACCATGTTCTCATGGTTATACTTATTCTTGGCTTGGGTTCACAATTAATCGATGTTCCATTTTATCTCCGTTTTATCGTAAATTCAGGAGTTATTCCGGCGACTCCTTCGATTTGTCTCTTATGGTGGTTTACTGATATTGGTTTATATAACGGAGTAGCCATACTTATGGCATGGACATCTCTCGAACGACATATTATTGTATTTCATGATCAATGGGTATCAACAAGAAAAAGACGCATACTTGTTCACTATTTACCATTGGCTTTTCTAACACTATATATTTTCATTTATTATATCGTTGCATTTTATTATTTCCCATGTGAAAATTCCTACGATTATACATTACCATATTGTGATGCGTCCCCATGTTATATGAGTGATCCAATAATGGGCATGTGGGATTCAGTTGTTAATACGGCTTTCCCGTCGCTTTTCGAAGCATTTCTAAGTTTGGCTTTTCTTTTTCGAGTCATCTGGCAGCGACACCGCTCTCACTTACCATTTCAATGGCGTAAGCAGCGCAAGATGACTATCCAGCTGATGTCTCTTTCGTTGCTTAATATGGCTTTCAATTTTCCACTGAGTATTATTGGCATTATTCATTTATGTGGTGTAGCCGAAGATATTGGGGCCGAAGCTTCAGAATATTTCTTTTTTCTTTGTTATTTTGTAATTTTTCTCATTCCTTTCATCTGCCTTGCATCGATAACCGGCGTAAAGAACAAATTTCTTGAGAAAGTACTTCGCCGACGACCACGACAACTTAATCGATTCACAGCAACAGTGAGACCTTGGGATCTGAGAATGCAAATGACTGTAGTCAAAGGATTAACGCAGTTTGAAACTTAATTTTCGTTGTTTTTGAATTTCAAATATTTTCCGATTGGTGTGAGAAAAATGATTTTAAAAATAATGAATCATTGTGTTCATTCAATGTTGTGTTGTGTTCAAAAATAAATATAACCTATTGATGATGTGATAAGTAGTGATTCGTGATCGAGTCAATAGCTAATGCGATTTAACAAACGGATAGTATGTCAATCCTAGCGTGCTTGACTGAGAATGCGATAAGAAAGAAAATACATTTTTTCTATCATGTAGAATTACACATTAATGATTTCTGATGGATCGGTTCGAATATCCATCTAATGTCAGTGAGTAGAGAACATATGAGTATACGGTCGTTAATGAGCTTTCAAGTGAATTGAAAAAATTTTGAAATGAGTGCATGTAGACGAATAGAAGGCGCATTCATATTCTTCATTGTGTAGTCTGTCATATTTCGTACATGCTTTGTCCTACCCCACGGGAATTAAGTTGACCATTTTGTAGAAGATTTGCCATCTTTTAAAGTTATCTTGTTATCAAAATCGACTTCCTGATTGACGAGATTTTGTACACTATTTCACCATAAGAAAAAAATAGAGACTTAATTCAGCATATCCTACAAATCAAACTACTACTCATTCTGCGGGAAAGCGAAAATTGGTCGAACGAAAAATGGTCGAACGAAAATTGGTCGAATGAAAAATGGTCGAACGAAAATTGGTCGATACGAAAATTGGTCCATACGAAAATTGGTCGACGCGAAAATTAGTCGAAAATTTTGTAATAAAAGAACAAAAGCTTTTTCCTAAACAGAAGCTCGAACTCTAACCTGTATCTTGAGGGTGAGAGTGAGGGTAAG